TATGTATGTTCAATTCATCCGCCGTTTTCTTTTCATTAACGCAAACGGATAGATTAAAAAGAGTAATAGACGTGAACACAAACCTACTCGCGTAGAAAGATATATGGTTTTTCTGAAAAAAAACATTTTCAGAGTGTGGAGCGCTTTTCCAAACCGGCTTTTTGCACGCTGTAAGCGTTCTCACGTGGACAGCAGAACTGAGCTCAGTTTTCGCTGAGTATCCCACAGGCCAAAATGGCATTGAAAGAAATTGCTTGGAATGGGTGTATCACGGGATTCTGGCAGAAACCACTCATTCCAAGCGATTCGTTGACTGCAAGGGTTACTGGAGGTCCTGGTAAGAAATACAATTGGCGAAGGTGCTATTTGGAGCAAGTTTGGAACGTCGAAAAAAAATGCGAAAATTTGGCCTCGGAATTGAGCTTTTCTTCTCTAGCCCTTTTTTGGCATTTACGGGGCCACTAAGCGAAAACTGATCTCGGTTATTTAGTCCTGCTATGAGTTTTTGAAATGCAGAAAACCGTTTTGTGAAATCGCTCCACACCCCTAAAAACCTCCCTACAAAGGCGTACACGGAGAAAGAAGTCTATTCGGAATTTTCAGTTTTTGATGAGCGAGCGACCTCTTACTTGCTATTTTTGTAGAGCGAAACATTCAAAATGAAACGTTCTGTCGTTTGCAAGTCATCAGCATATGAGCGCAGAAAAAACTTATGGCACTTTTAGGAGACATGGTTAATCAACTGTGTTGCCTAGTAGCTAACAGTATTCATTTCTCAGCTATATGAAACGGAACCTATAAAGAAAAATTATTTAGGTTAAAAACCTCGATGAGTTCATCACACTTGGTTGGTATTGCACTATGGTGCTTCTCGCATCCGAATTCATGACCTTGACAACACTGGCCAGCATGGTCTACATGGTTTACGCTGGTGAGTATTTTCTTCTCGCGAGGTGGGCAGTTCTGTAATGAAACTCTTTTCAGGTGCCCATCCAACAATCGTTAGCTGCGGGTCGGTCCAGTTCAACTCAACCGATGAAGCATGCTTGCGATTGACGGTCTTGAGGGAGAGCACCGGCTGCGTTCCTGTTCTCGAATATCAGTTCAAATCCGTAAATGTCGATGTAAGGATCCATAGCAGCCTCGTTCTCCATCCTATTATATTAGATTTTGAGCCAATTTTGGAACAGCACAATAAAATGGGCATTTCGAGATCGCGCGCTATGTGCAATCATAACCGACGAGAAATTTGTTCAAGCTGAATAACTATCTGCTCTTATTTACGCTAAGGCTAATTATGATCAGCCCTCACGTCTCCAGATTTCCAAAGATTCGAGAAAGTGATAGAGCCTGCGAAGGGAATGATTTTTGCTGGTGGTGGAGCAATGCACTCAACGTCTGAACATTTCCAGATTTATTAATTCGTTCAGAGTTCAGGATGGCATTGGGAACTTGAAGAACCAATTCAAACTGATTAAAACGAGGAGAGGTTGGCGAGGAGGGAAAAGTGGGTGGGACATGCACCCGAAAAAGAAAAATTTCCACGAGATTTATAAATCGGTCCGTCTAGCAGGCAGGCCGGAGACCGGAAAAAAGCGAACAATGGTTGATGAAGGAGAGGTCAAAAGCCATAGATGGATGAGCCATGGGATAAGTGATAAGCTCTCGACTCGAAGTCAAGTATCCGTATCTATCGAGCCTCATCTGAAACTTTAACGTGTACATTCCATATCGCGTAGAACTGTATGTGCCGTCCAGCCCACGGCGCTAACTGTTTATACCATATTTTTCGGTCGTCTTTTATGAAGAGTTTTTACCGTGATTCGGCCTGCTATCGAATCGAGCGAAGCTCGGGATCAATAGTGCCCCCTTGTGGATGGTAGTGTGTCCAATTGCGCTAGGGTTTCCTTTCGCGTAGTTAACCTTAAAATCCTACACCTCCAGTTTGAAACAATTATTTCCCGATTTGTGAAGTTCACTATACGGTGTCACTACTTCTTATTTTCTATAGATTCCTTCGGAATAATTCCTATTGTCAAACTCTTCATTGCTCATTCAACTTCCACTCCTCCTTCACAACCGGGTGCCAATTTAAGCACATGCGACCCTCTTTTGAGAATTGCAGCAGAACCCCCATCGTTGAAGTTCACACCAACTATTGGTTCACACTGACCAACCCCTGCCTTCACTTCTGCTCAGGACCGATTCTGCCTCTAAGAGTTGTCAGTTTGATCTGCTATTCAGTTCGATATGCTGTGTGAAAATGGTAAATCGGTGAAGAACAGCATTTCCGTCCAAATGTTCAGTGTTCTTCTTGGAGCGATGGTCAGTGGCCAACTCAGTGATCGATATGGAAGAAAACCGGTAACGAATGCACTGAGGCTAAGAGCTTTTGAATATTGTGCGTGTTCCTGCAAAGCTGGTGAAATTGGACTTGCTTTCAGTCTCATCTCTCATTTTCGGAAGGTGTGTTTCTAACTGCTAGCGCGTTGCATTGACATTTCTACCAGTCAACGACTTCCGCTAATCATAGGATATGCACGGGCGTCTGACTCGTAAGTCTCAATAATGAACCTGATCCTGGACGTCCCGACTGGACATTGATGTCCAGCACCGGCTGTAGTGACAAGTGGCGCGCTTACCACGCGAGCGGTCCGGGGATCAAATCCTGGGTCGTGAGTCGCCCGGGCCAACCAAGCCTTCCATCCCTCCGGGGTCGGTTAATTGGTACCAGACTTGTCTGGGAGGATAAAAACACTGACTTGTACATCGGCTGGCCCCCGCAAGTCATTGTATAGGCCACATCGCATTCAAACGCCACTACGAATGTACAAATGGAAGTAGAATGCGTGCCGCATCCCAAAAAGGGATTGATCAACGGCAAATGCTTTATCCTTTAAGAAAGTCTCGCGTGAACCAATAGTTATATAGAATATCAACTACATATGTGTACACACAAATCCTCACTCCGTTTATAGGGTACAAGCCTTCAACTGACCAGGAAAGTCGGCCCGCTTTTTTAAAAATGGTTTGCTGCATATTATAGAGGGTCTGGCATGAAACTAATGAGTTCTTATCTTGAGTGGCCTCGGAATTCGCCGAAAAAAGGCAGGAAACTTCTCTCAAAAACTTTCCTTTATTGGTGGTTATTCCGTCACTGCCTTATAGATACCCGCGTATTAATTTTGCTATGAAGTCTGGGCACCAATCACCCATGGCTTGTCATGGTCGCGCGCAGCCGTGTCAAAATTCATCGTGAACTTTATTTTATAGGCAGCAGTAGGCAAGCGACACTTGAAGAACAGAAACGCTGCGCATAAAAGCGAACGAGTAACCCAGCAAAGGGACCAGTCTCACGAAGCACTCCCCCAAGATCCCGCTCCATTACCGCTGCATTCTGCGACTTCATAGCTGTTTCAAGAGAATTGAAATCGACGTTCAAAGGCGCATATAAGAGTATACATACACCTCATCTGGAACGATTACGACGACCCATAGTCCTTTCCTTAATCGGTACCGATACAAGGATCCATTACTAGGGCGAGCATCGAGAAACGGACCGTGTTAGAGGTAGCGACTCCAATTGCCAGAGCTACACCTAGGGTGAAAATCGTGTCGAGGACGTGGTCACATCAGTACGACCCCCTCAGATCGGGGTCTTGATACGACCCCTCTAACTTTGATTTGATGTGAATAAGCGAGTTCCATCAATGTACAGCAAAGCATTCAGTTGCAGCGCGGTTTATCCGTGGGTCAGATTTGCCGAAACCCGCTCGAAACCGTCGAAATCTACACTCTCGATGAAAAGGTTCCATTCCCCCATTTCATAACCTTTGAGCAGTATGTGGTAGGGTTAGATAGAGCTGGATTTGCTACTACCGGGCAATATTGAAATTGATCTAAAAGCTTTACACTCGAAGAGATAGGGTCTCTCAAATTTTGTCGAGCAGCGTCGAGGACGCTGAATTTTCATGCGAGTTTTTGCCACTTAAAAGGCAATATCTCTCTAATTTCGTAGAACTTAAAAATGAAGAACAGTTTTGAAAAGCGGAAGGTTTGCGCTTTCTAATTTGTTTAGCTTCTTCTACATTTTCTAGTTGAGGAGATATTTGCGTCGAGGATCTATCGAGGACGGATCTCGGCCACCTGAAAAGCCGCTCCCTTCTTCACCATTGCAAGTTAATTCGTTGGCAACTCTCGAAAATGTGTCTAGAATACATTCTCCCAACGTAAGCGATAAGAAAAGGGGCAATCGTCATCGTCCGATCTCGTCTCAGTATAGGCCATGCATCCGACCTCCACTCAAGTTGTAGAATCTATTGAAAGGTGTTATACATATGATGATGACCTGTTGACAGAAAGTGTAACACATTTCGTAACTCCTGTAACCTAAGGAACAGCTTCATTTGTCCAAGACCTTCTGAAACTATTGTCGTTTTTGCTACAGCGTCCCTAACAACAGTGCTATTCTCAACGAGGTATTAACGGCGAGGGAATG